CTTGAGCCCAGGAGTTGGAGGTTGCTGTGAGCTGAGATGCCACGACACTCTACCCAGGGGGACAGCTTGAGGCTTCTGTCTCAAATAAATAAATAAATAAATAAATAAATAAAAAGACCAGCCTGAGCAAGAGTGAGACCTCAGCTCTAAAAATAGCCAGGCATTTTGGTGGGTGCCTGTAGTCCCAGCTACTTGGGAGGCTGATGCAAGAGAATCTCTTTTTTTTTGTAGAGACAGAGTCTCACTTTATCGCCCTCGGTGAGTGCCATGGCATCACACCGCTCACGGCAACCTCCAACTCCCGGGCTTAGGCGATTCTCCTGCCTCAACCTCCCGACAGACGCCCGCCACAACGACCGGCTATTTTTTTTGTTGCAGTTTGGCCGGGGCCGGGTTTGAACCCGCAACCCTCGGTATATGGGGCTGGCGCCCTACCCACTGAGCCACAGGCGCCGCCCAGTTCTCCCTTTTTGTTTTAAAACCAAAGGGCAAGCCAATCTCGAGTCCAGCTGTACTCCTGCTGCGCCTTTGTCGCCGCAGCTTCGGCCCCGGTGCCCAGCTGGCCTGGCCAGCCCAAGACAGGTCCGATTCCCGCGATCCCCCACCTTCCTCAACTGCCCTATTCAACTTAGAACCCGGCTCTTCCCGAACCCTGGGTCTAGCTGGTCTCGCGGGTACGTTCATCCCTTACCCTGCTCCCAGAAAGGCGCCAGTATCCCAAACTAGGTGCGGCTACCCGAGCCACTCCACCCGTGGCCCTGAACCGCCTTTCCCAGTGGGGACCGAAGTCCCCGCTCTCCGCTGGCATCTCCGTGAAGGGGCCCCCAGGGGATCGCGGGCTTCTGCTGCCTGCTTAGAAGGATGTGTGATCGGGTCTCTTAAGCGCGGAAATAAGAGCGGGTTTCCGCGAGCCCTAGAATCGACGACCCTGGAGCTCCTGGTCGGGTGCCGGTAAAACCCGGAGAGGCTATGGCCGAAAAAGTGACGCTCGCCGTCCCCTTGTTGCTACTGACCCAGCTGCTATTCGGCGCCGAGCTGAGGTTGGGCCAGCCAAGCCAAGAGCCTCCCGACCCGCCTGGAAGACCAGGAACGCGGTGCCAGGGCCCCGCACGGCGCCGAGAGCAAGACACACGGCGGGTAATGCCGGGGTTCTCGAGCCAGGCCGCCCGAGCGGATTCTGGGTCTTCGGGCTCCTCTCGGCCCCGCCTCCGGCCCTGGCTTCTTCCTACGGCCGGGGTCGGGGTTCCACTCCACTGTTTGGCTGCGAGAAGATGGAGACGCGCTTGGCGCGCGGGAGGCCAGCTTCGGCCATAAATCTTCAGGCGGGACCTCCTTCCAGCTGCTCACGCCCGGGTGCTCCTGGCCGGCCTCGCGTTCCGGGCCGCGCCGGGCGCTCTGCTTTACCCGTCATGGCCTGGGGGCCCAGAGGCTGCGCAGGGAATCAGG